GAGGTCCCTAACCATTCTATCTTCTTGCCACCTTTCAGAGTCTCCTTATATTTGTGTTTTATGTAATGTCCAGGGTGTTTGACTGTATTTAGCAGAGGGAATAAGGAGAAGTGTTTTTACTCTATATTGTCTCAGAACCAGACATCCCCAAGGGCATTAAAAACATTTCTTCTGCGTCATCTGGCAAAAAGCAGCCAGTGGGGACAATGTTCCCCTAAATTGATGGTGCACTCCCTCATCTCCACATCTTCCACGCTTACCAGCCCAATGTTCTGCTCTGTGATTTTTTTTTTTTTTTTGGAGACAAATTTTTGCTCTATTAGTGCAGTGACATGATCTCTGAAACCTCCACCTCCCAGGTGCAAGCGATTCTGCTACCTCAGCCTCCCAAGTAGCTGGGCTTACAGGAGTGCACACCACACCTAGCTAATTTTTGTATTTTTAGTAGAGACAGGGTTTCTCCATGTATGCCAGGCTAGTCTTGAACTCCTGACCTCAAATGATCCACCTGCCTCGGCCTTACAAAGTGCTGGGATTACAGGCATGAGCCACTGCGCCCAGCCTGTCTTATTTCACTTAGCATAATATCATCAAAGTTCATCGATACTGCAGCATGCATCAGAACGTCATTCATTTTTAAGGCTAAATAATATTCTGTTGTACATATATACCACATTTCATTGATCCATTCAAATGCTGATAGATGTTGGTTTGGGCCAGGCACAATGGCTCACACCTGTAATCCCAGCACTTTGGGAAGCCAAGGCGGGTGGATTACCTGAGGTTGGGAGTTCAAGACCAGCCTGACCAACATGGAGAAACCCTGTCTCTACTAAAAATACAAAATTAGCTGAGCGTGCTGAAGTATGCCTGTAATCCCAGCTACTTGGGAGGCTGAGGTAGGAGAATTGCTTGAACCTGGGAGGCGGAGGTGGCAGTGAGTTGAGATCACACCATTGCACCCCAGCCTGGGCAACAAGAGCAAAACTCTGTCTCAAAAAAAAAAAAGATAGATGTTGGCTTGGTGAATAATGCTGCTGCAAACATGGGTCTACAAATGTGTCTTCAAGACCCTGCTTTCAGTTCTTTGGGGTATATACTCCTACGTGGAATTGGTAGATCATATGGTAATTCTGTTTGTAAGTTTTTGAGGAGTTGCCATACTGTTTACTATAGCAGCTATACTATTTTATATTCCAGTCAAAAGTGTACAAAGCTTCCAGTTTCTCCACGTCTTCACGAATGCTTGTTATAATATGTGGTGTTTTCTTTTGATAGTAGCCATCCTAATGGGTATGAAGTGGTATCTGTCTCATGGTTGTTCTGATTTGCATTTCCATAATTAGTGATATTGAGCATATTTTTATGTGCATATTGACTATTTGTATATCTTTTACTTTTTGCTTGTTTCTTTTCTCTTTTTTTTTTTTTTTTNAAAAAAAAAAAAAAAAAAAAAAAAAGAAAGAAAAGGAAAGGAGAAAAAGAAACACCCCTCTTCCAAACATGCAGACCTGCCCTCCCCATCATCCCTTCCTCTCTGCAAGCCTGCTTCCCGTCCATGACTTGGAACCCTCCCCACCTCCCTCCTACCACCTATGCTGGTCCACTGGGCCCTCCCCACCACTTTTCAACAGGCTTTTAGGCTCTCTTGTTAGAAACAGAACAAAACACTCAAAACCCTTCAGGATGCCTCGCCCCCCTCCAACTGTCCTCCCTCTTTCTCTCTTCTCCTTTTGCAGCCAAACCTTTCCTGAAGATGTCTCTAAACTCACTGTCTCCCATCTGATCCGCTCTCTGGAACGCTTTGCTCTCCCCATCCCTCCACTCAGGTCATGGATTCAGGGGGCATGTCAGTCTTCTCACCAGTCCTCTTGGTAGGAGAGATGCTGGAAGGTTCTTTTCTTTTTTTTCTCTCTCTCTCTGTCTCTCTCTTTTTTTTTTTTTTTTAGATAGGGTCTCATTCTGCTGCCCAAGCTATAGTGCAGTGGTGCAATCTTGGCTCATGGCAACCTTTATCTCCTAGGCGATCTTCTCACCTCAACCTCCCGAGTGTCTGGGACTACAGGTACATGCCACTATGCTTGGCTAATTTTTGTATTTTTTGTAGAGGCAGGGTTTTGCCATGTAGCCCAGACTGGTCTCTAACTCCTGGGCTCAAGCAATCCACCCACCTCAGCCTCCCAAAGTGCTGAGATTACAGATGTGAACCACCACACCAGGCCCTCGTTCATAGATCTTCTTTGGAGAAACATCTGTACAAGTCTCTCACCCATTTTTGAGTCAGGTTGTTTGTTTCTTTTGTTGAGTTGTTAGAGTTTTTTATATATTCCAAACATTAATCCCTTATATAAGGGGTTATATAACCCTATATTATATTATGACCCAATTATGTATTTATATATATTTTCCAAATATTAACCTTATATCAGGGGTTAATATTTGGCAAATATATATAAATACAGTAGCTTTTGTCTCGTGGTCTATCTGCTGCCATGTCCTGGCCCCTGAGCCACTTGGATGCTGTAGTCTCATCAGCCTTGCCCTTATATAAGGTTAATTAACCCCTTATATAAGTTTAATATTTGGAAAATATATATACATATATAATTGGGTCATAATATAAATTTGGAATATATATAAATATATAATTGGGTCATAATATAAATATGACCCAATATTGCCTTTTTACAATTGGTCTGTTTGAAACAGCATCCAACAAAGTCATACTATATTAGTACATTTGATTGTTATGACCCAAGTCTTATCTAATCTAGAGGAAATTCCTATCCCTAATTTTCTCCCTGGACATTGACTTGTGGCAGAATACAGGTCCATCATCATGCAGAATCGTAGTTTTGAATTTCAACTTTGCTGCTGCCCTCCAAAGTTTCCTGCTTTGCCTTTGATAATTTTAGCAGTAGATTTTCTGCAGGTAACACCCCCTAGGGGCACTGAGGAAGGAGAACTGTGCAAACCCCAGGCATAGTTAGTGCCTGAAGCATAACTCACTGCTTGCTATATCTAGCTTATATATATGTATAATCATACTTAGTCCCATATAATATTTCTATATAATCATATAGGTATGTAGTCAGAGCTGTACTGACACATTTAGTGCTGATTTACATAATCCTTCTATATAACCATATAGTAGTTTGTAGTGGGAGGAATGCCTAGAGCAGTCACAGAACAGAAGCAGTACATGGGAAAACAGCCAGACCAGGACAAGAACCAAAGACCCAGGCGGTGGAGTCCCTGCCTGAAAGGACATATGCTGTATGGCGGGCTTGGAGCAAGAGCCTCTCCTCCTGATAAAGGAGTTGTAGTGCCTTGCATCCAGTTCCTGTGGAAAGTAGGCCTCAGGCCTGAGATCCTGGAAGTAACCGAGGGAGAGGAACCCCTCTGGTGTGACCAGTCATGGAGGCTATACACCCTGTCAGTCTTTTCTCACTTCTGTGCTAGCTCAAATCATCTGTCCATAAATATCTTAAGAGAGGAGCACAAGTCTGTCAGCTCCCACTGCATTGGCTTACAGTATCCTTCTATTAGAAATCCCTTGAAGTCTCCAGCCCCCAGATAAGAAGTGTTGCGCACGACACCTGTTGCACACAGCCCACCTCCTTGCCTCAGTGACCTAATGGGGGTGGACCCCTTTTCTGTACACAACCCTCTACTACTGCACATGGCACGGCCCCCTACTGTGCATGGCCCACCTCTCTGCCTAGGTGACATAATGGGGTGGCCCCTCACTTGTGACTCGTGATTATGTATGCCCTATTACTAAGCCTATAGATGATGACCTCAGTGACGACCCTGCCCCCTGCTTGTACCTAAGAAATACAGATGCTTCTGGGCATTCAGAGCTCTCACTGATCTCCACTCACAGGTTGCGTGGCCCCCCGAGTCCAGCTGCTCGTCACCAGTTCCTCAGTGTCCTGTTTCTTTAATTCCTGGATCCTGCACCTCAGCACAGCATAAGGGACACCCCACGACCCTGTGGAGCCCAAGAGCCCTACAATTTTCCTTATTGAAAAAGGAAAGTTTCTCTTAAATGCTCCTAGGGGACTAAAACTGAAAATGAAAAGAGGAAGCTTTATCTACATTTGAGAACCCAGCTAATGGGAAGGCAGACACTGGAGACAGGGAGGTGTGAGGAGTGTGAGGCTCAGATGGGGTGGGGAGAGCGCATTTGGGTCAACAGCCTGGCCTGAGAGAAGAGATGCTTATCCCACAAGGGGACCAGCCCAAGACTGTGTCCCTAGCCATGGGCAGCACAGGACAGATCCCGGGGGCACTGCCAGGGCCACAGTGTGGCTCTGTTCCCCAGGGGATGCTGGAGAGAAAGCTTCAGCCTCAGGGGTTCTCTGAGTACACAGGGCCTTCCCAGGAGTCCCTGAGGGCACAGGGGCAGGCTGGGGAGACTACAGCATCCAGGTGGCTCAGAGCCAGGACATGGCAGCAGATAGACCACTGAGACAAAAGCTACTGTCACTGACAATGTCTGAGCACTCTAAAATGTCACTAGAGTTTCTGGGATTCTTATGGGTGAGTTTTTTTCTTTATATTTTCCAAATTTTCTTGAACAGTGACAAAGCAATACATTTTCTTTAAAAATAGATCAGTACCTTTAGGAGTAACATAGATATGCCCAAAGAAGATCTTTAGGAATGACAGCACAATGCTCAGTGGCTGGAGTGCGGGGTCCTCCAGACTCTCTCTGGAGCCTGGATCAGCCCCTACTCAAAGACTGGGCCAGGACCCAGGAGCATGGCACAACCCAGAAAACATCAAACATGGCCGGAGGAAGGCAGTCTCCTGAATGTCTGTAGCTGAGGTCAGTATTCCTGGTTCTGCGTGCAGTGCTGCTGCGGACTGAACCAATGAGGAGGAGGCCCAGCTTTCAGGAAGCCCCTGCCAAATACACTGGAACCCACCCAGTAGACCACATTCTCTTACCCACATTACTGTTTCCAGACCTCTTCCACTCACACACACAAACGTTCCCAAGGTCGAATATTCTTTATTATAAACCAGGATACAGGATATATTCCAGGATACAGGAAGAATAGCAAATATAGGCTCTTCTCAGATATCTTTGAAATTATTATAATGCATTCAAAACATGTAGAAGATACTTCTAGAGATCGCTTTAAAATGCCCAATATTAAAGGGGGACAGGTGCACGGCAGCTAAACGCTTCAACAAGATCATGCAGAGGGGCCTCCTGTCCCTCCCAAGATCCTGAGAAAAGACACCTTGCTCCAGCCTGGCTGGAAGTGGAGCAGAGATGCATTTTCTATTTGATTTAGGGTCCTAAGGTCTGCCCTGGGGCACAGACACCTAAGACTATGGTACCTTCTCCCCAAAGGAGAGTTTGAGGGTAATATACAAATCGCTCTGGGGGGTTGAGAGAGAGAGGACAGCTGTGTCTGTAGTTTATTGTTCTGTGAGTTTAAGCATCTCTCCTCCTCTCTCTCTGCTTCATTAAAGGTATAAATACTGGTACACTGGGTCCTTTCCAGAGTTTGGTCTCACTGAGTAGGAACACAAGAGAAAAGGAAAATAAGAGTGCCCCATTTTTGTTCGGGGACATGGTTAGGCTCCCTCAATGGTGGGACTTTCCCACCTAGCTGTTCCTGGGACCTGTACCTAGAGAAACGTGTATGTGCCGGTGCCTGTGTGTGTGAGAGTATGTATCTGTACATACATGTGTGTGTCGGTGTGTGAGTTTGTATGTGCCCATGTACCCACAAGCTTTGGGACAGGCGGTTTTCTATGATCGCTGTTTGTAAACAAACAACTTTGTAAGGCAATCAAGGTACGAAGTTGGTGGGAAAGCTCTCTGTGGGTGGTGCAGTGGGGAAGGCTCCCTGCTCACATCATTACAGTGACTCATCCCCAGAACTCATACTTGATGGATATGCCAGAGGCCAGGATCCCTTCTCATGCCAGGTGTAGCTGAGGGCATGACCACAGGCATCTTGCCAGGTAGAAATGAAAAGCAGCTTGGGCTGCTCAGGCCAGTCTCTCGAGGACTTGCCACTGCTCAAAGTTGGGCAGAAGCTGGGACGTGTCAAAGATGCAGATAAGAGGTAGACTCATTAGGAAATAAGCTTCAAGGTCGGATCCCTTTGTGCTGGGCCAACCTGCTTCCCCACCTGCCCTGTGAGGAAGGAGGAAGTGGAACAGGAGGCGAGCAAAGAGGCACTGAAGCATCAGTAGGCATCATTGTGGAAGCAGCTGCCCTGGCAGTGTCATGGTCCCAGCAGTGGCCAGCAGGTAGTCTAGCAGCAGCCAGCTCTCCCTCAGCCAAGATTGGTCACCCCCAGGAGATCCAGAGCTATGCTTCACCATTTCCTACAGGGATTCAAACACAGCTACTGTCTGTTCTNAGCCCACCTCCTTGCCTCAGTGACCTAATGGGGGTGGACCCCTTTTCTGTACACAACCCTCTACTACTGCACATGGCACGGCCCCCTACTGTGCATGGCCCACCTCTCTGCCTAGGTGACATAATGGGGTGGCCCCTCACTTGTGACTCGTGATTATGTATGCCCTATTACTAAGCCTATAGATGATGACCTCAGTGACGACCCTGCCCCCTGCTTGTACCTAAGAAATACAGATGCTTCTGGGCATTCAGAGCTCTCACTGATCTCCACTCACAGGTTGCGTGGCCCCCCGAGTCCAGCTGCTCGTCACCAGTTCCTCAGTGTCCTGTTTCTTTAATTCCTGGATCCTGCACCTCAGCACAGCATAAGGGACACCCCACGACCCTGTGGAGCCCAAGAGCCCTACAATTTTCCTTATTGAAAAAGGAAAGTTTCTCTTAAATGCTCCTAGGGGACTAAAACTGAAAATGAAAAGAGGAAGCTTTATCTACATTTGAGAACCCAGCTAATGGGAAGGCAGACACTGGAGACAGGGAGGTGTGAGGAGTGTGAGGCTCAGATGGGGTGGGGAGAGCGCATTTGGGTCAACAGCCTGGCCTGAGAGAAGAGATGCTTATCCCACAAGGGGACCAGCCCAAGACTGTGTCCCTAGCCATGGGCAGCACAGGACAGATCCCGGGGGCACTGCCAGGGCCACAGTGTGGCTCTGTTCCCCAGGGGATGCTGGAGAGAAAGCTTCAGCCTCAGGGGTTCTCTGAGTACACAGGGCCTTCCCAGGAGTCCCTGAGGGCACAGGGGCAGGCTGGGGAGACTACAGCATCCAGGTGGCTCAGAGCCAGGACATGGCAGCAGATAGACCACTGAGACAAAAGCTACTGTCACTGACAATGTCTGAGCACTCTAAAATGTCACTAGAGTTTCTGGGATTCTTATGGGTGAGTTTTTTTCTTTATATTTTCCAAATTTTCTTGAACAGTGACAAAGCAATACATTTTCTTTAAAAATAGATCAGTACCTTTAGGAGTAACATAGATATGCCCAAAGAAGATCTTTAGGAATGACAGCACAATGCTCAGTGGCTGGAGTGCGGGGTCCTCCAGACTCTCTCTGGAGCCTGGATCAGCCCCTACTCAAAGACTGGGCCAGGACCCAGGAGCATGGCACAACCCAGAAAACATCAAACATGGCCGGAGGAAGGCAGTCTCCTGAATGTCTGTAGCTGAGGTCAGTATTCCTGGTTCTGCGTGCAGTGCTGCTGCGGACTGAACCAATGAGGAGGAGGCCCAGCTTTCAGGAAGCCCCTGCCAAATACACTGGAACCCACCCAGTAGACCACATTCTCTTACCCACATTACTGTTTCCAGACCTCTTCCACTCACACACACAAACGTTCCCAAGGTCGAATATTCTTTATTATAAACCAGGATACAGGATATATTCCAGGATACAGGAAGAATAGCAAATATAGGCTCTTCTCAGATATCTTTGAAATTATTATAATGCATTCAAAACATGTAGAAGATACTTCTAGAGATCGCTTTAAAATGCCCAATATTAAAGGGGGACAGGTGCACGGCAGCTAAACGCTTCAACAAGATCATGCAGAGGGGCCTCCTGTCCCTCCCAAGATCCTGAGAAAAGACACCTTGCTCCAGCCTGGCTGGAAGTGGAGCAGAGATGCATTTTCTATTTGATTTAGGGTCCTAAGGTCTGCCCTGGGGCACAGACACCTAAGACTATGGTACCTTCTCCCCAAAGGAGAGTTTGAGGGTAATATACAAATCGCTCTGGGGGGTTGAGAGAGAGAGGACAGCTGTGTCTGTAGTTTATTGTTCTGTGAGTTTAAGCATCTCTCCTCCTCTCTCTCTGCTTCATTAAAGGTATAAATACTGGTACACTGGGTCCTTTCCAGAGTTTGGTCTCACTGAGTAGGAACACAAGAGAAAAGGAAAATAAGAGTGCCCCATTTTTGTTCGGGGACATGGTTAGGCTCCCTCAATGGTGGGACTTTCCCACCTAGCTGTTCCTGGGACCTGTACCTAGAGAAACGTGTATGTGCCGGTGCCTGTGTGTGTGAGAGTATGTATCTGTACATACATGTGTGTGTCGGTGTGTGAGTTTGTATGTGCCCATGTACCCACAAGCTTTGGGACAGGCGGTTTTCTATGATCGCTGTTTGTAAACAAACAACTTTGTAAGGCAATCAAGGTACGAAGTTGGTGGGAAAGCTCTCTGTGGGTGGTGCAGTGGGGAAGGCTCCCTGCTCACATCATTACAGTGACTCATCCCCAGAACTCATACTTGATGGATATGCCAGAGGCCAGGATCCCTTCTCATGCCAGGTGTAGCTGAGGGCATGACCACAGGCATCTTGCCAGGTAGAAATGAAAAGCAGCTTGGGCTGCTCAGGCCAGTCTCTCGAGGACTTGCCACTGCTCAAAGTTGGGCAGAAGCTGGGACGTGTCAAAGATGCAGATAAGAGGTAGACTCATTAGGAAATAAGCTTCAAGGTCGGATCCCTTTGTGCTGGGCCAACCTGCTTCCCCACCTGCCCTGTGAGGAAGGAGGAAGTGGAACAGGAGGCGAGCAAAGAGGCACTGAAGCATCAGTAGGCATCATTGTGGAAGCAGCTGCCCTGGCAGTGTCATGGTCCCAGCAGTGGCCAGCAGGTAGTCTAGCAGCAGCCAGCTCTCCCTCAGCCAAGATTGGTCACCCCCAGGAGATCCAGAGCTATGCTTCACCATTTCCTACAGGGATTCAAACACAGCTACTTACTGTTCAGGTGGGGAAACTAAGACTGAAGGTATATGAATAGCTCAGAGCTGGCTCTGCTAGTCCCAGCTGGTTCTGTTCTATACCGTCCTGGCTGGTAAGCCAGCCAGTGGACAAGCCCCTCACAGCCACTGGTTCCATGAAGGACATAAGATGTGATGTCCAGATGATGTCCAGCTGTGGCAGATGTGTCTGTGGAGTTGGCATCTCCAGGAATTGAGAGGCAAGTAGAGCACAGATTCCTCCTACAACCGAGGAGGCAGGGCAGAAGTGCATGGACAGGCAGACAGATACACACACACCCAGAGTCCCAGAGCAGTCATCAGGGCAGGGACAGGGCCTTGGCAAGGCGAGTCCAGAACCAAGATTTGGTGCAGGGATTGGTATAGTCACAGACAGTGATGAACCTCAGGATGCTGGGGAACTCTTTGTTCATTGCCTTGTACTTGATGGGGATCAGTCGCTTCTGGTGGGCACCTGAAAGAAAAGGGGTGCCATGCTGGCATCAGGCCCTTGTTCCATGGTGGGACAGGCCCAGTCTTCAACCCAGGGGTTAACAACAGCCATCTGCCATCTAAGCACCCCTGGCACACATTCACTCACACAAAAAGGCACACATGCACAGGAGCTCAGGTGCACAGAGGTCTTCAGGAGTTCTTTGGTACAGCATCCATAGCCCTTGGGGAGGGAAGGCTGACAGTCCAGAGCCCCCACCTACTCACTCCTTCATTTTCTGGCCAGACCAGGGTTGAGCTTACCTGGAGAGAGGCTGAGTGCAAATTTGGTCTGGAAGTCACATTCCTTGCTCTGCAGGTAATCATCAGAGACAACCACCACCATCCGGCGGCACCTAGGGGAGAGTGGGTAGGCTGCAGATCCTGTGGCAACTTAGTCCAGCATACCGCCTGGGAATAGCTTCAGGAGGGGCCCACTGTGCCCAGGCTGGACAGTGCACAGCTAGGAGGAGATGCCCAGCATCTGGACCCGTGGGCAGGGCTTCATGCACCCACTCACCCACCCACCCTTGACCTTAGCCAACCTCTTCTCGATGAGCTCACTAGCAATAGACCAGACACAGGTGCCAGGCAGGACATCGCGGTCAGACACACATAACTTCAGTCGATAGTTTGTCTGTTCCAGTTGCCGGATCATCTCCTGCACAAACTGGATGTCACTGGGGCAATAGCAGATGAAGGCATCGAAACGCTCTGGCATTTGCCCTGGGTGCAGAGCACAGGGTGGTAGTCAGAGCTCCGTGGGAAGGCTTGGGAGGGGTCCAGCCAAGAGTCCCCTGCCTAGGCAACCCTGGGCCTTACACCCTTCCCAAGATGATATTCCTTAGAGAAAGTGCCCTTCCCAGGAGAGGAAAGATTACTGCAACCTCCACCTCTCAGCTTCAAGCGATTCTCCTGCCTCAGCCTCCCTAATGGCTGGGATTAGAGGTGTGAGCCACTACACCCAGTTAAATTTTGTATTTTTAGTAGAGATGGGGTTTTGGCATGTTGCCTGGGTTGGTCTTGAACTCCCGACCTCAGATGATCCACCCACCTCGGCCTCCCAAAGTGTTGGGATTACAGGCATGAGCCACCACACCCGTGAAGATGGGTATCTTTTTTTTTTTTTTTTTTGAGACGGAGTTTCACTCTTGTTACCCAGGCTGGAGTGCAATGGCGCAATCTCGGCTCACTGCAACCTCCGCATCCTGGGTTCAGGCAATTCTCCTGCCTCAGCCTCCTGAGTAGCTGGGATTACAGGCATGCACCGCCATGCCTAGCTGATTTTTTTGTATTTTTAGTAGAGACGGGGTTTCACCATGTTGACCAGGATGGTCTCGATCTCTTGACCTCGTGATCCACCCGCCTCGACCTCCCAAAGTACTGGGATTACAGGCGTGAGCCACCGCGCCCGGCCGATGGGTATCATTTCATGAGAGTCTCACAGCAACCCAGAGGTAGGACTATTATCTCCATTTCTGAGGTGAGGAAACTGACACTCAGAAAGATTAAGTGACTTGCCCAAGGTCCCACAGCCCATCTGCTTCCAACACCCATACTCTTAACACCGCACTGTCCTATTCCACCGGTCCCATGGGAACAGTATTGGACCCTTACCCAGGGGGTCGTCAAGTGTGGTGATGCCCGCCAGCTCTGTTGTCCGTGGGACACTGCTGTCGACAGAGGCCACCTGTAAGGGCTTCTCAGCCTCCTCCTGCTGCTGCTTCAAGATATACTTTTGGCAATCCTCCTCTGTGGGGAAGAGACAGGGTATGGCGGGCTCCCCGGGAGTGCCCACCTCTCTACCCACAGTCAGGATCCCACCCCTGCCCACCTCCTATGGCAGGGTTCTTCTACAGGGCTTCCCCAGCCCACTGGTGCCATCAGCAGCTCAACAGCTCTGAGAAGTTGAGCTCCCACTGGCTCTAACAGACCCAAAGGGATGTCAGTGGTGTTTTGTCTTTCTGGAAGGCCATCAAGGTCAGGTTTGTATCTCTGTCCCTTCCTAGGGATCCTAAGAATGGTATCAAGGTAGGTCTGCTGCTTCTGGGGTCCAGGGCACATGTGAGCAAGGGGCTGAGCGTGCCAGAAAGGCTAGGGAGACTGACCCACTGGCTGTGGTGCAGTGAAGGCAGTGATTCCAACCCAGCAAGGTATGCCTGCCTGTGGGCGGCTGTACCCAACGCCTATGCGTGTATATTATGTAAGTGCCAGTGGGTAGCAGGAAGGGCTGCACTTCCCCAGGACTTGAGGTTTCTAAGACAGTCCACTGTCAGTCCCCCGCCTGTCCTGTTGCTCTACTTGAAACAGCCCAGACGCCCCCACAGAAGCCTGATTCTAACTCCTGGCCCTACCTGAAAGCCTCTGCCTAAGCTGCTTCCTTCCCATCTCCGCCTCTCCGGACTTTTCTCCAGTCCCTAGCAGGTCCCAGTTATTAAGAAGGAACTGCACCCGCATAGTTCTCCCTCTTCAGGCTTCTCCAGGCCCCCAAGGGGGAAAACAGGGACTCTTCAGGGGAGACATGCTGATGCCGGAAAGTCAGCCTCCTCACCCCCCAGGTACAAGGCCAGGAAGGGGATGTCCTCACCAATGCTGGGTCCCAGCTCCAGCAGCACGTCGTCGCGGCCCAGCTTGGCGAGCAGCTCCAGCAGCCGGCCTACCGAGGCACCGGGGCGTCCCTGCCAGGCGTCCAGCAGCCTGCCCGTGGGGTCGGCTTGCGACTCCAGCTGCCGGATCTCCAAGTACTCAAAATCCATCTCCTCCGCCAGCACCGTCCAGTCGGCCGCCACCTGCGTCCGCACGTTCAAGAACAGCGACAGGCGGCGCCGCACTCGCATGTTGAGAGCAGCCAGGGGCAGGGAGGATATGGAGGAGACGGGGGCCACAGACTCCGCGCGGGGACCTTCTGCAGCCATGGCGGGCTGTCCAGGAGCCTCGGCGCGGACGGGTCGCGTTGTCTGCCAGCGCTTCCTCTTTCTCCTACGGCTCCCGCCCCGCCCCGCGGGCTTTCGCTTTCCGAGAAGCGCCGCCCTGCCCTGCAATCTGGAGCCCCGCGCAGAAATGCGGAGGCGGGGGCGTCCACCTCCACCCTGGCGGTCTCGGCGGGGCGGGGAGGCAGGGGGAGGTTGGGAAGTCGGAATCTGCCTTTTGAGAGCCGGAGAGGTCCGCGGTGCCGCCTCGAGGTCTGGTGGTGCTGGTAGTAGGTGGGCGGCGGAGTGAGGTCGGCCTTTCGGGGGTTGTAGGAGACGGGACTTGCTCTTTGGGATCTGGAGTCACAATTCTTCCACTGGGGTTCTGAGGGGTTCATACGGTCCTGCCCTCGAGGATGGCGAGGAGGAAGGCACCAGCTCCCCCCTCCGCTGTCTCTGGGTAACACGCAATCCTGCCGGTAGGGGTACGGAGAGACCCCTGCTATGCACCCCAGGGGGAGTGGGAAAGGGACATCTCTGGAGCCCGAGGCAACCTCGAAACGGTTGGGGGCGTCATGACGCTAGGCTGGGAACCACAAGGCGCCCTGTGCTTTGGTGCTGCTCTCCAGGATCTCAGGTAAAGACACGGCCCGGCTACTGGGAGTCAAGGGCGCACGTGACCTTGCTCTTTCGGGTTAAGGTCACAATCCGGACCTGGGGAGCCCTGATTGATTCATTTACTCATTCAACAAGTATTTATAGATCATCTATTAAGTGCCAAGCGAGTCGCAGGTTCCCGGATACCTCTTTGTCTTGCTGGAGATCCCAGCCTAGCACGGGAAATGGGCACTAATAAAATCATTCCAACTGGGTGTCAAACCGGTAAAAGTGTGAGATGTTCCTTCTCCAGTTAGAGAGCTTGTCACCCCCCAGCCCCTCTGTGAAATCTGTTCTCCCGGCCAGCCCGAAAGCCCAAATTCCCGGTCTTCTCGAAAGAATGAGGAAGCCCAGCCACGTCGGAGTAGGACTCGGGCGTCTCGAAAGTATTTAGGTCCCCCAGCTTGGGTACTGGGACCGCAGGGATAGCAGAGCCGACGAGGAAGTGGGTAGAGGACTTGGAGGCCCGGCTTCCATCTCCATCCCAAGCAGGAAGCGGTCCTGGCGGTCCAGCCGTCTGTTGGGAGGCGGGCAGGGGGCAGGGCTTTGGGGATCCGGTCTCGGGTTTGGCTACAAAAGGTGGAAAGGCTTCCGGTCTGCTTTTCTGGGCGGGGATTCATAGAGGTCCACCATCTGGTTGGCTGCGGTATGTTAAGGTAGGCGGGGCATTGAGTGGAAAGCTCGGCTGGGCGGTGACTGCTGGTCCTCCGATAGAGGGCTCGGTAGGCCGTGGCGGGAGAGGCGGGGCCCCAGGCTGACTCACCTTGTGGTTGGCTGAGGCGGAAGGTGGGCGGGACTTTTGTTTGCTTGGCTGTTTAGGCCGAGGGGGCTGAGGTGTGGTTCTGCGCGTGCGCAGGCAGTCTGTTGACTCCGGCGGTCAGTTGTGTAGAGTGGAGCTGCGCAATGCGGAGGCTGTCGGTAGTGCTGGGCCACCTGGCTGGCAAGCCCGATCCCGGCTGGACGCTGCAGGCGGCGCCTTGCGCTACCGGCGCCCCGCAGGCCTCGGCCGCGGACGTGGTGGTGGTGCACGGGCGGCGCACCGCCATCTGCCGGGCGGGCCGCGGCGGCTTCAAGGTGAGGCCCGAGGGTCTGGGCGCCCGGTTTGGGAAGACGCCCGCGCGGCCTGGGGTCCCGCTCGTATGTTTGGATCCCCTGGATGCCGGAGGCAGCTCCGCACCCAGCTGTGGTCGCTTTGTCTCCCTGGAGTGGGTATGGGGGAGTGGGGGTCACCGCAGCTGCTCCTCCCGCTGCAGGACACCACCCCCGACGAGCTTCTCTCGGCTGTCATGACCGCGGTTCTCCAGGACGTGAATCTGCGGCCGGAACAGCTGGGGGACATCTGTGTCGGTGAGCGCACCAGCCAGGCCCTGCGCTGGGCCCTCCCCGTTCTTCGTTTGTCCAGAGCCCTCCGCACCTCCCCACCCCGAGTTTTCACTGGGGGGACCTCCATGGCCTTGACCTTCAGTCCAGCCCTGTTCCACCGCTCACCTTGAGATATAGCAACATGATATGGCGAGAGTCTTATCCGGTAGATGCCACCCCTAGGTCGGCAGTCCTCTGGGGTGACAGCAGGGCTCAGAGGAGGACACCTGGGGACATGTGCATTTTCAGAAACTCCCATGTCACTTTTAAAGATAGGCAACCTGTCCATCTGTGCTGATTTGGAAAAGCTGGGTGCATGGGCAAGTGAGCGTGGGACCCTTGGGGACAGGAGCTGGTGGAAGACCAGGACAAGCTGTTGTATGGCTTGCTCTCCCTGCTCCAAACCCCGGTGTTCCAGAGCTGCCAAGGGCTAGCGTTCCCGAAGAAAGAACTGGAACGTCTCATCTCCGGTATTCACAGCTATGCCTTAGTGCCCAGAATACCACACCTGGCACTGAATGGAAGTTTGTTGTCCACAGGAAATGTGCTGCAGCCCGGGGCCGGGGCAATCATGGCCCGAATCGCCCAGTTTCTGAGGTAAACTTTTCTAGTTGTAGCCATGGGTTGGCCATTTTGACACTTTAATGGGCCCAGGGAACTCGGCCGGCAGGTTGGGGAGGATCAGGTTGGACGCCAGAATGAGGCAACCAGAGTCCTTGGCTCCCTCCCCTTGTGGACTCACCTCTCCGCTACTTTGAAGGGAGGGTGAGCCCTTCAGGTGCTGAGCCGGGGTGCACAAGGCCTTTGACACTGGAGCAAAAGTTCTCTGTGGCTTGATTTTTAGCCAAAAGGTTGTTGCTTGCCTTTTCTAAGTGTGGATTCTGTTCCCATTTGTCAGGTGAGTAACCAAGTAAGCATGCTGAAAAGTGACTTTCAGCCTTTTTACTAGTTGAGCTGGGAACTCCAGTCATAACGTCATAACCCACTAGCAGACCCTTTGGGATAGGGCAGAACCATGGGGAAGAGGGACGCCCAGGAGGAGACCTGGTAACCTTCCCTTTATGCACCTGCAGGGGAGAGAGTGCTTAAATTATTTTCATGCATAGATTTAAGACCTGCTCAGCTTTGTACTTCCAGGTACATGGAGAAGAATAAATAGGAACACGAGCTAGTGAAGGAACAGGAAAACAAAAACCCTCTAGGAACCGGGAGAGATTTACGCTGCCCAGCCTGTAGTTCAAGGCCCCTGCAATCTGGCTCCAGACTTACCTTCCAGCTTCATCTCCCAGCTGCTTACTCACCTTGACTTTTCTTCGTTTAGCTGGCCTGTCGGCCTGCTGTCCTCCCTGATACGGTCATTCTCTCTCCTTGAAGTGCTAGCCCTACCTCCTCCTTCTGCCCTAGCTAAACCTTGCCCAAACATAGTCTTACCATTTTGGCTTGACGTATCCAGGCTCTCAGGCTGAAAATGAGAGCTCCTTCCAATCCGGTAGTAGCTAGCCATGTGCTTCCTTGTGATGCGGTTTGCCCTCTTGCCCTATTATTTCAGTCTCTGCTAGTGGATTCATTTTCTGTGTGTTGCTTGGGCATCCTCCAGGGCACAGTGTTATGTGCATCTCAGCATCCCTCAGGTGGCGCCTTGTGCTAAGTAGGTACTTAGCGAACACCTGGTGGGTTGAGTGAAGGAATGGTAACTACCTACTAGGCAGTTAAGGGACCCGGGAGGCATCACACAGGCTGCACAGGAGGTGATCCGCCTGAGAGTCTCTGTAGAGCCTGGCCTGGACACCAGATCAGAGGTTCCCAGCTCTGGCTGCACACTGCAATCACCAGGGTGCTTCCACCCCCTCAGGTTCTGAGTCTGTGGGTCTGAGGAGGTCTGGAAATTTCCCTAGGGCTTTGTGCTGTTGGCCAAGGCAGGTTACATCAGGAGGGGAAGCCCTGCTAGCTTCCAGGACTAAGACCGGTGTGAGAGTCTGGGGAACACACCAGAGTGATAGATGTTAGAACACATGATGCCCGTCAGAGTTCTCCGTCTAGGTGGGGTCAGGTTTTCAGGAGTCCGTGGGAACACGCGGGCTTAGCTGTACGATTACTGGTAAGCTGAGGGTCCCTGGCCTCAGACTTTAGACATTGCTGTTGCTCTGGTGCTCTGTCCCAGCAACAGGATCTTTTCTCTGTTCTTTGGGGGAAACAGAGATACATGGCTTTCATTTCCGAATCTTCAGAGGGAGAGAGAGAAGGGCCAGACATGTTTCCCTTCCCTTGGGCTGCGCTTGGTCTTTGATGGAAGATACTCACAGGAATGGAAGGGAATGTGCTTATGGGGCCCTGGGGAGCAAGTGCCTGCGCAGATGGGGTCTGCCCAGTAGCTGCCCACCCTCATTCCATGGATCTGGCCTGGCATGGAGGCAGGGCTGCTGGCCTCCATGTTCCCCTGCCCTTTACATCGCTTGAGGGGGCAGTTAGAGGCACAGGACTGCTTTCCATGAGAGGCCGGCATGCAAGAGGGGGCTGATTCTACTGTCTGACCTTCTGTTTCAGTGACATCCCGGAGACTGTGCCTCTGTCCACTGTCAATAGACAGTGCTCGTCGGGGCTCCAGGCAGTGGCCAACATAGCTGGTAAGTGGACTGGGTAGGTGCCTTGGTCCTGGCCTGTGGGTTTGGGTCAGCAAAGTTGCTGTCTGCTGGGCAAGCAATAAGGATTTCTGAGAGGACTCTAACCACAGAAAGAGTGCAGGAGTGCCCCTACCACTGCCCCAAGCCTTTTCTCAACACTCCTGGGTCTTCCGTTTCTGAGGCTGGGGCTGAGTCCCATCTAGAGGCCAGGTGGGGAAGAGGCTCCACTGCTTCCGGAACAGGTAGACTCTGGCAAAGGATGTTTATGAAATGCTTTTGTTGCAGGTGGCATCAGAAATGGGTCTTATGACATTGGCATGGCCTGTGGGTAAGAATTTTTTTCTGCCGGAGCTTATTAACCAACTTGTGACAATAAAACTAATTTTCATCTCCTGAGTTCTCAGAGGCCATGATTTCGGGATTGCCCCATCCCCTTTAGGCAGCTGGTCGGGAGTGGATTCTCACAAATGCAGCTTGGGAGTGGCTCCCAACTCTGGCTGCTCAGGAATCACTCACACCTCTCAGCACTGGCAGGGGAGGGCGGTTGGCCTCTAAAAGCTTACTTTCTTGGAACTCTTTCAGGCTGGAATATGTGGGAAAGCATTTTGAGAAAATACAGCACTGGGGTCTCCTTTTGTAGCCCTTGTGGATTCACGGTGCTGCTGAGAGAGAAGTTGCAGTTTGGGCTCTCTAAAGCCAGGGCCAGCCGCCTACTCTATCACTAGTTTGTTCATTTTACTAGGCTGTCTGTCCTCTTGTCTCCCACCCTCATACCAGTGTGGAAACTTCCAGCTGCGTATGGGCTATGAGGGACATGATCAGATTTGTGGTCACTGTCACCTCCTCCTAGACTGTGGCTCCATCATTGGCTGCAGTGAATGGAGCTGCAGAAGTTGTGTTTGGCAGTGCCTCCAGGGAAGGGCAGGGCACTGGGGCCCAGGCTTGGGTGGGCATCTGGTACTGGGAGGGCAGGGGAGTAAGGGCTTTGGCAGGCTGGGGGAGGCAAGCAGCCCCAGGGTTCTGACATGCCCCCACTGCCTTTCACATCCTCTTTAAAGTATTTCTTGAGAGGAAGCATTGCTGGCCCCTGTCCCAGGGCCGTGGCATCTGGCACTGAGTTGTACTGACCGATGTCTGCAGCTGTAAATGAAGCCAAAGACCACTCTACAAGGACTTTGGCTGGGCAAGGGCCACTGCCCTTTGATTTCTCTCTATCTGCCCGGGTGAGAGGTGGTGTGGATAACTTGAGAAGGGCTGGAGCCTTTATGAGTATCTTACAGGGTATCTGATTCCCAAGCAGGTCAAGGACCGTGGTACTAGGATATTAAGATCTGGGCCAGGCCTGACACCTACATCCCAGGCGGACTGTTCCCCATAGGCTTTGATCAGCAAGTATATAGCACAGGGCATTCTAGCTGGAAGTGGGCTCTGGGGCCAGACTACCTAAATGTGGATCCAGGCTGGGTGACCATGGACAAGTTATACAGTCTCTAGACCTCGGTCTGCTGGTCTATAAAAGGGGGATACCTAGCTCAGCTCTGCTGAAGTTGATGGGAAGATTATGGAGTAATAGCAACAGCTTACATGATGGAGTATTTGTCATGTGACTTGACACTGACGCACTCTAATATCTGAAGAGTTCAGAATAGTGCTGGGCATGTGAAAAGCACTCAGCCAAGGTTATCTGTTATCATCCTTGAGGCATCAGGGTCCCCCATCTCCTCAAAGCCCTTTTGGACCACACTACACCACTTCCTTCCTCTCAGCTTGCAGCACTTCCTTATCTATGTAGGTCTGATCACCCTTTGAGCTCCGCTTTGTGATTACTTTTAAATTGTGTCTTCTCCCCTCTGAATTTGTGGGCCCTGAGGTTAGGCCCGGGCTTGTGGATGTGTTTCCTCTTCTGTGGCCGACACGGGAAGGCGTTGCTCTGGACTTGCCAGTTGGCTGACTGAGCAGTTGTATAGGGAAGCACCTCCCTGACCCAGGAGTGTTTATTGTGCAGCGCTCTGTGCTGGGGTCGGGGGTGAAGTGGAGACAGGGCTTAGTAGTGCCATACTCGCAGCTGGGCCTGGCTGGCCAGGTGCCCTGCCTGTGGCTCCCAGAGGCCCACTGGACTTCCTAGGGCTCCCTGGCTATTTCCTAGCACTTGCCAAGTGTACAGCTGTTCCTGGAGGGGTCCTGCCAGGGCCCAGTTCACCTTACCTTCTCCTCCTCTTCCTCCTCCCCAGGGTGGAGTCCATGTCCCTGGCTGACAGAGGGAACCCTGGAAATATTACTTCGCGCTTGATGGAGAAGGAGAAGGCCAGAGATTGCCTGATTCCTATGGGGTGAGCGCTCCCATAGCTCTGTGTGCTGTGCCCTCTGCCTGGAGCAGGGGGCGGAAGAACTTTATCATCTTTGTGGCTGGCGGTGCCAAGCCTTGGCCTCCTTCCTTTGGGCATGGTCTGCTCTGCAGGGACTTTGGGGATGAGAGTTGAAGCTGCCCTTGACTTCCCTTTCCTGAGGCCCCCAGGTCCTCTCTGTGCCCCTGAGTTTCCAAACATTGCCCATTTTGTCACCACACTGAAGTGCTCAGTCATAGGAAGGACAATGGTAGCTCCACTGCAAAGCCTTGGGGGCCTAGAAAGTTGAGAAGGCAGGGGGAGGCTTTGATTACTGAGCGTGCCGGTGGGGGAATTGGGCCTTGTCAGGTGCAAAATAAAAAGTATGTGGCATTTGTATGGAACAGCTTAGCTTCTCTGGGCCATCCCCAGAGTTTGTGGGCCAGGAGTCTTGGATCCACGAGATGGCTGAGGAGACGGAGGCTTGGAGGGCGCAGTGCCGCGGCTTCACACACCGCATCTCCAAGGGAGGCCTGTAAAGCCAGAAGCCCAGGCCGGAAAGCCTAGCTGTTGCTCTCGGTTCCCAGGATAAGCATAGGTCCCAGCCAAGGTGACCAGAAAGCCTAGGTTTGGCCTTTCTAGAGGAGGTTTGGGAGTCCTCACCTCCCCATGTTGCAGCAGTTTTCCTTGAGCCCCAGGAGAAGCTGGCCAGGAGTGGCCTGTTAGTGCCCCACCCAGACCCTCCCCGCTCCTTGTCTCCCCTGCTCTGACGCAGCTCACCCAGGGAACAAACTCTTCTGCAGCTGCCCCCATGCAGGGGGCAGCTTCTGTCCGAGAGAGGGTCTCTTTGGTGTATGACCTTCTCAGGATCTGGCCAGCATTGCTGACTTTCCTATCTGAGTCTTTATATCCACATCCTGAGTCATCACCACTGCCTGTGGCATGGACTGGCCTTTCCGTCCTCTTGGGAACTCAGAGTTCCAAGCACAGCTCTGCAGCCTGGTCCATTCCTCTAGGCTGTCAGACCAGTGCCCACACTGTTTGCTGTTTGTGTTCTAGAATAACCTCTGAGAACGTGGCTGAGCGGTTTGGCATTTCACGGGAGAAGCAGGATACTTTTGCCCTGGCCTCCCAGCAGAAGTGAGTACTGCTTGGAGAGGACTGTTTAAAGGACTGGACAGTGAGGTTTGGAGCCTGTCTAAGTGATCTGAAGTGGAGCCCGTCTGTGCTTACAGCTGGGCAGCACGTGCTTTCCAAGCCTCGGGCCTCCCAGGTTAGGGGCGGGAAGTGGGAAGTGTCAGGGCCACTGTGAGTTGGTAACACTTCCAGGTTCTATTCCAGGTCTGTTCACCCTGACTCTTTGCCCTAGTGAGGCCTCAGTTTTCCCGTGTGTTCTTTTCTGGCTGTGGTTTGGAGATTGGACATGGTAGCCTGGAGTGTGGGGCCAGCAATGCTAGGGACCCTGGCATCCTAGCTTCTGGACCATGCTGGGTCTGTGGCAGCATCCTATGGCAAGAACTGGGGATGATATCAGGGAAACCCCAGGGGCTCAGGCAGGCTAAGATTGGCGCAGGTCCCGGCTGTCCAGAGAGGACAGCAAAAGCAGGGGATGGTATCTGGGCCAGGTGGGCTTCTCTGAAGCAGTGATTCTTGGCCGCTTGGGGTCACATAACCATTTAAAAATGTGTCAGAAGCCTTGGATTCCTTCCACTGGAATGTCCCTGGGCACTTATATGCTGCACATGATTTCAAGGGTCACTCACATACCTTGTGCTTTAAAACTCTTTCAATACAAAAATACATTGAATAGTTTAGTATATGTCACTTTAAATATATGGAAACTGGGGAATAGATGACTTTGAACTGTTGGGTTTGAACAGAAAAGTTGGCAGAACCCAGCACAAATATTTCTGGGGTTCCACCCTCAGTTTAGCAGAGAGAACGGAGCAGGCTTAGTCCCTCTTGGACAAAGGGCTGTAAGTGGGGGCACCCCTCCAAACACCCTTCTCCCCTTTGAGGTTGGGATTGGCCACGATCTGGAGGTCTGGGGTTGAGGATGAAGAAGGCCCTGTAAGGTCTTGGCCATGCCCTCAGAGCTCCCCTAAAGTTGAGCATGTCCCCAAATTTAGCAGCCTAAGCTTGCGTCTACCCAAATGGATAGGTGTTGGGGGCAGGGAGGAAGGGAACCCCAAGGGAGCCTGAGTCTGGCTATCCATGGTGCTGGCAGGGCAGCAAGAGCCCAGAGCAAGGGCTGTTTCCAAGCTGAGATTGTGCCTGTGACCACCACGGTCCATGATGACAAGGGCACCAAGAGGAGCATCACTGTGACCCAGGATGAGGGTATCCGCCCCAGCACCACCATGGAGGGGCTGGCCAAACTGAAGCCTGCCTTCAAGAAGGACGGTTCTACCACAGCTGGTGAGACTGGTCCGGGGTGGGGGTATGAGGAAGGAGGCCATGGCCATGCTGGGTGCTGTACTCTGGGAGCCTGGAATAGACCAGGCCCCTCTGCAGACAGAGTAGATGTTGGAGGGCTGGGATCTCCTCGGCCCCACTCTGATCCCTTACCCCAACAATTTGACCCTAGGAAACTCTAGCCAGGTGAGTGATGGGGCAGCTGCCATCTTGCTGGCCCGGAGGTCCAAGGCAGAAGAGTTGGGCCTTCCCATCCTTGGGGTCCTGAGGTCCTATGCAGTGGTTGGGGTCCCACCTGACATCATGGGCATCGGACCTGCCTATGCCATTCCGGTAGCTTTGCAAAAAGCAGGTAAGGTGGTTCCTTCACATCGCTGTCTGGGTCCCGCCTGGATCTGGCACCTGCCCCGCATGCTGTTGCCAGGGGCATGGGGGTGGTCCTGTGGGTGCTGCAGAATGGAGGTGGGCAGGCTAGTGTCCCTTACTCAAAGCCCATCCTGACCCCACAGCTGGGATTGGCTCACCCTTCTGGAAGAGACACACACCAGGTAGCCTGAAGGCCCATGGATAGGGCAGGCCCAGGGAACACAGAGTCCTGGTACAGGGCCAGTGTGTCAGGTCAGGTCTTTACCTTGCCTGCAGGGCTGACTGTGGCTGACGTGGACATCTTTGAGATCAACGAGGCCTTTGCGAGCCAGGTGAGCTGTTGTTCTCCATGTTGCCTTGGCCCTGGACAGTCCAGGTGGAGCAAGCGGGCAGGTGGTGCAGGGGAGGGGGCAAGAGGGCTGCGGTGATGACCTGCCTCCTTCCAGGCTGCCTACTGTGTGGAGAAGCTACGACTCCCGCCTGAGAAGGTGAACCCTCTGGGGGGTGCAGTGGCCTTGGGACACCCACTGGGCTGTACTGGGGCACGACAGGTCATCACGCTGTTCAACGAGCTGAAGCGCCGTGGGAAGAGGTAAGGCTGGCCCCTGGTGGGGGGTCGTGGGGGGATACCCAAGTTGGGGCACCTGCAGGGTAGGGGATAGAGGTAGGTGGGCTTTGGATCATCATCCCAACAGACACAGTCCTGAGCACCATAATCCCAAATGCTGAAATCCCAAATGTTGAAATCCAAAAGATCAAAGTCCCTAAGGTCTTGGCTGGTCCAAAGGTAGTGTGTTATCTTGATTGTTCAATTACAGATCAAACTCCTTGTTCTTACTCTAAGAGTACTTCTTACTTCTACCCTTGACTAGTCAAGGGAAAAAAAAATCCCTAATGACTAAAATCCCCAAAGTCACAATATCAGAAGATTAAAATCCTGAATGTTGAAATCCTATTGTTGAATTCATGCTATGAATTCTAGGGAAGGGATCAGTACATTTTCCATCGTATGCAGGATAGTGCATCGTCACCGTGTTACATGGTGTAACTCATATGATGCAACCATTACCTTGTTACTGCCTTTATTTGGAAATTAAGTATGGTTTAAGGAGTTGTGAGTGCTGCTAAGTTGACAAGGAATGGACTTAACTTTGGGAACACCTAGAAACCTGACCGAGTATTATTTTGAGTGTGAGGGTGTTTGTAGAGGAGGTCAGGATGCATTTGAGTGGACCAGGTGGGGAAGATCCACCCTTAGTGTTGGCAGGCACCATCTAACTGCCTGGGGCCCTGGAGAGAACAAATACAGAGGTGGGACACACTTTTTTTTCTGCCTTTGACATCAGAAATTTGATTCCATGAAAGTGCCTTATCACACTGACTTTGTAAGCTTTGTGCATGTACATAAAAATGTTGAAACTTCCTCAGTAAATGAAGAGGTGTCCTGTTTGTGTACCTGCATTTGTGAAAGATAAAATTTCTCAAGATCTTGGTTCTTCGGGTCACTGCATATGCGGTGGTGACCCATCACAGGTTTGTTTGTTCGTTGAGACAGTCTCATTCTGTCACCCAGGCTAAAGTGCAGTGGTTCCATCTCGGCTCATTGCAACCTTTGCTTCCCTGGCTCCAGCAGTCCTCCCACGAGTAGCTGAGACTGTAGGTTCGTGCCACTACACCCAGCTAAGTTTTTGTAGAGAGCATTTCATTATGTTGCCCAGGCTGGTCTCGAATTCCTGGGTTCAAGTGATCCTCCCACCTTGGCCTCCCAAAGTGCTGGGATTACAGGTGTGAGCCACAGGGCCTGGCTCCATCACAGTTTTTGATCAGTCTCATCAAAAGACATAGGTTCTCAATCATGGTGTTCATATGACTGCAGTTATGAAGCTGGGTGCACACGATTACCAGCCATTTACAGAGTTTGCTTTTTAACCTATTTATGAATACGGTTTGTTTATAACTGTTATACTCCTGTGACTATTGTTAGCATACCTGAGTGTTTATGCTTGCTAAAATATGTAATTGTTACCTATTGTGTTGTGTAAAGTAGCCTGGGAAGTGTTCTCTTTTCGTTTCTCAAATAAATCCCCTTTAAAAAATGTACATATATGTATATTTTTGACATGGAGTCTCACTCTGGTGTCCAGACTGGAGTGCAGTGGCGTGATCTTGGCTTGCTACAACGTTTGCCTTTTGGGTTCAAGCAATTTTCCTGCCTCAGCCTCTCAAGTATGTGGGATTACAGGCAGCTGCCAACACGCCCAGCTAATTTTTGTATTTTTAGTGGAGACAAGGTTTCACCATGTTAGCCATGCTGGTCTCAAACTCCTGACCTCAAGTGATCTGCCCTTCTCGGCCTCCCAAAGTGTTGGGATTACAGGCTTGAGCCACTGCGCCTGGCCTAAAAATGTAAATATCTTTTAAATGAATCTTTTTAAAAAGTTTTTTTCTAAGATGGGGTCTTGCTGTATTGCTTAGGCTGGTCTTGACCTCCTAGGCACGAGTGATCCTCTTGCCACAGCCTGCTGAATAGCTGGGACTACAAGTAGATTGCACTATGCCAGGTTTCCACATTGTTTTTTCCAGAATTGTATTTTCAGGATTTTGATCTTTTAAGATTGTGATTTTCAGGATTTTAGACTTTAGGGATTTTGTTCTTTTAGGATTTCAACATTTGGGATTATGATGTTTGGGACTGTGTCTTTTGGGATTATGAGCGGTCCCTAGGGAAGGGAACATGCACACACAAACACCCTGAACTGAGGATGCAGGGGCATGATCTCTGTTTTCCCTGAGGACCAGCCCTAAAAGGGACACTAGCTGCAGCTGGCATCTGCCACTGTGTATGTGCCCACAGATCTGGTCTGACGGTTTTGTGTCCTACTCGTCGTGAAGTCCGTCTGGCTCAGCCTGGTCTGGAGATAGCTGGGTGGTACCTCTGCCCAGCCAGTTCCATTTTGTTTCCACAGGGCATATGGAGTAGTGTCCATGTGCATCGGGACTGGAATGGGAGCTGCTGCTGTCTTTGAATACCCTGGGAACTGAGTGAGGCCCAGGCTGGAGGCGCCGCCCACACAGTCCTGCTCTAGCAGCAAGGCAGCAGCACTGCAGAAGCAAAACCGCACGGGAAAACTCAGCACTGGTGGTGGTGGCGGCGGACAGATCAAGGCACTTCAACTCGTTTGGAAAATGTGAACACGGCTGACATGGTCTAGGAGTGGGCGGGGTGTTGAGCCACCCATCAGACCCTCGTTAGCTGTGCAAGACAAAGGCAGCCTAGGTCACCCAGGCCACAAGGCCACGGTTAATTCCCAGGGCAAGGCGAATTCATGGATGAGAAGCGCAACGGACATAGTAAATGTGCAAGAATTTATCTTAGTGGCTGTGGTTTTTTTCCAAGGGGAATTCTGCCATACTGGTCTTCGCTGTGCAGTGTGTGTGGTGATTCTCAGTGCAGTGGTCTCTACTGTGGTGTGGCTCTGAGCCAACATGAAGGCCTAGGCTGAGACCATTGTGGAAGGGGGTTCTTCTTCCATTCTAGGAGCTGTTCAGAGGGCCTCAAGTCTGTGTCTTTGTGCTGAAGGTTTGCTCCTAATCCCTGGCAACGTTTATTCTGCAGCTGGGGCCTGGGGTTGAGGGCTGGGGAGGCGTCATGTATCTCTCATCATAAGAGCCCTGGCCCCGGAGCCGCAGGGTGCAGGACTTCTCGCCAAGCACACCCTCCACCACCACTGTGGACTCGTACAGCTCATTGCTGCTGTGGGGAGCATGTGCGGGTTGCGGTTAGGAGGGGTCTGGGCAGCGGGGGCCAGGCCGTGTGGGCAGCTTGGGGGAGGTTGGGAGGGGCTGTACCTGGCAGTGAAGAAAACCTGCAAGGCAATGGAGGTTGGGGGGGCATTGGTGGATCGTGCTTCCAGCAGCCCACTGTTTGGGGTGACCCTGAAGGCCACAGCGTCCTTGGCCGGCTCCTGCTGGCCTGCACGAAAGGGAAGGGAAGACATGAGTGCAGGCAGTCCCGTGTACCACTACAGGAAGACTTCGCCCACCCACAGGCCTGCACCTCTGGTCTTGCTCAGAACTGCAGGGCAGGGCAGCCCTGAGATCATGTGGGATTGGGGGACTGGCTGTTCTGCAGAAACTCCACGTGGTACCAGCCCTGGGGGCCAGCATGCAGGGACAGGCACAGCGGCCCTTTCCTGGGGGTCTTTTCTTGGCACAGCCCTGTAGGGGAACAGTGGGTAGGTGGGAGGGTAGGACATACCCATCAGCATAGTCCAGTAGCTTCGGCAGCCGCTCAGGTTCATCAGGTAGACCTCCCGGACTCGCTGCTGGCTCACAAAGCAGGTCCCAAAGTCCACCCAGCTGGTGGAGAGCTGCAGCTCAGGCACGGCCACCACGGCCCGCAGGGGCACTGCCTGTGGGGGCCCAGACCGCCTTGTTCACTCTGGGTGAGCCTAAGCCAGGGCCTCTGGGACGCAGGGAACCCTGCTGACCCCAAGTGCTCATGCTCCTGAGGAGGGCAGGGGAAGTGCCCAGCAATTGGCAAGGGGCTGGAGTCTGTGCAGGGAAAGGGCCAGGGTAATGCCATGCATTTCCCTGCTATCCCTGGCTCCCTCCCTCATAAAGCTCCAGGCCCTGCACTCTGGCTGGTAGGGCTGCCCTCCTTCACCCATCCTCCTATGGTGGCCCCGAGACCCAGCCCTCAGCTCTTCTCAGGCCCTGGACCATCTGTCTGTGTCCCGTGACCTCAGGCCCTACCTGTGCCCTGCTCTACCTCCTGGCTGCCCCTGTACCACACTCAGGCGATGCTATGCACTGTCCCACTGCCTCGGCCCCAGCAGCTGCCTGGGTGCCACGCTGGGGCACCTCGGCTCCACTGCTCAGCCACCTGCCCCCGCCTCTCTCGAGTCCTCCCCAGGCCACTCCTTCACACTCCTCACTAGAAGCCCCAACTTAGCGTCTGCACCACGGCCCGGTGACCTTGTGCTCTGGTGCTTGTCCTGGTGCTTGAAGCCTGACAAAGCCCAGGGCTGTCCCTGGCAGCTGCCTCAGGTTCTCACTGCCCCCACCCATCAGGCCATCCTTTTGGCCTGGTCGTCAACGTGTTTCCCTTCCTTGATTAAACGGTGTACAGATTTCACATGCCACCTCCTGCAGGGAGCCTTCCCTGATTTCCCACACTCTGGCCCCTCACCTGGCTTTGGGCTCATGAGGCAGAGGAGGGTGGATGGCCTTCATCTCTCTGCACACAGGGCCTCTTCTAGGGGAGACTGAGCCCCAGGAAAGGAGTGGGGGCTCCTTATGTCTGAGGTCCCTGCTAGGTCTTTCCTCCTCTGGCCCCAGCAGAACAGAGCCCAGCCCGCTTCCGCCTTCCCACATGTGGGCGGGCCTGGGGCATGCCTGAGTGGTCTGGGTGGTGTACTCCAGGAGCAGGTTCTGCGTAAACACCATCTCTCTCTCTCCACTCGCGCTCTGCTGAATGTCCACCCCAGGCAGCATCTGGTCAGCCGGGAGCTTCTGATAGGAGAGCAGCTCCAGGGAGAGCGTGAAGGACACGTTCACCTGAGCAGATGCAGACATGGTATCATCTCCAGCTGCAGAGGGCAGGTGGCTGCTTACCCACCTGGAGCTCCGTCCTCCTTCCCTCCTGGGCCCAGCCCTGCTCAGCCAACAGCCCAGCAGCTCCCCAACCTGGTGCTTGCATTCCGCAAGCACTGCCCAGCACCTACTCTGCCCAGCACCCTGCTAGTGCCAGGGACAAGGCATGTCTGCCCTCAGGAGTCATAGGCTAGAGGGGAAGGGACATGAGCAAGCCGCCCTTTACCACTTCAGATGCCCAGGGCTGTGGGTGGGCTCAGCAGCTGAGGAAGGACTTGATCTGTGTGCTGAGGACAGTGAGGAGCCTCTGACAGGTCACTGACCAGGCGGGGAGCGTGAGAGGATGCCGGCCCAGGGGCTGAGGCTGTAGCTGAGGCTGGACAGGATGGAGCTGGGACTCCTGGCTCCCAGCACAGGTCCTCGGTACAAGCTTATCAGAATCGACTGAGGCACTTGTTAAAAATACAAATTCTTGGCCTCACCCAGACCTTCACACCTGTGGAGGTGGCGTCTGGGAGCTTCTGCCTTCAACAAGCTTTGTCAACCGCACTAATTTGCTGGGAGCAGTGGCTCACATCTGTAATTCCAGCACTTTGGGATGCGGAGGTGGGAGGATCGCTTGAGCCTAGTTCAACACCAGCCTGGGGAATATAATGAGACCTTGTCTCTACAAATAATATAAAAATTAGCTGGGTGTGGTGGCATGTGCCTGTGGTCCCAGCTACTTGGGCAGCTAAGGTGGGAGGATTGCTTGAGCGCCCAGGCAGTCAAGGTTTCAGTGAACCACGATCATCCCACTGCACTCCAGCCTGGGTGACACAGCAAGACCCGATCTATCTAAAAAAGAAAAAGCCACTGATTGACTGCCAGGGTTAGAATCACTGTCCTAGACCAAGACCTGGGTGTAGGGATGAAGAAAGAACGGCACTGAGAGGAACGTGGGGGGGCACCCACAGGGCCTGCTGGCCTGGTCACAGAGAAACTGGTCTATGACAAGGCATGCCAGGGGTCTGAGCATGGGCAAGGGGGTTGGGGTGGTATTTGCTGAGATGAAATGCCACCACAAAAAGGAGGCACAGGTGTGGGGCAGGACAAGCTGGGGGCGCTGAGTTCACTTTGGATGGGAGGAGTTTGGCTCTAGAGCCTGGGAGGGAGGATTCTAGCCAGATGCCAGAAACCTGGGCATCGTTAGCACATGGAGGGTGAGATGCGGCACCATTATGCGGTGTCCTTTTTCTGGGACCTTTGGGCTTCCCCAGAGCTGCCAAGGACTTTTAATGCCTGGTAGCTAACCGTCATGTCTCCTGGGAGGCTCTGGTGCAACGGAACCTCTGGCTGTGCTCTGGGCCTTCCCCTCCATTTAGCTCGCTGAAGGGAGCAAATGCAAAGTGGGTCAAGGGTGCCCATCTGCCTTCTGCAGATCCGTATGTCTCCCCGACCTCCATGGTGAGGTTCTCGGGGAGTTCCATCACCTAGTGCAGCATCTGGTGCACAGCAGGCCCTCACTACACATTGGATAGAGAGAATATGGCTGTCCACTGAGGCTCTGGAAATGGATGAGACGACCCAGAAATGGGCAGAGGGAGGCTAGGACCTGGCAGAGCTCAAGGGAGCACAGCATAACATAAAGGGAAGCCCTCCAAGAAGAGGAAGAAAGAGAGCCTCTGAAGCAGGAGGGGAAGTAGGAGACAGGTGAGGCACCCTGCCAGGCTGTCTACCCTCAGCCTGCCCCTGCGCACCCTGGGAGCCCGCTGCACAGATATGGGTGTGCACACACTCAGCCTTCATTCCAGTTGCTTCAGAGAAGTGGATGGTTTCCACTGAGTTCCTGGCGTTCCCAAGACCTTCCCGACCCCACCAACTCCGAAAATCCGGGATCCAATTATAACTGATAATTTGTCAGAAGAGGGAAAATGACATTAGAACCTGGAGTGCTTTACAATTACGGCAACCCCTTGGGCTCCCCTGAGCTGGGACGAAACCCTGAGCTTGCTCAGGAGGAGGAGGGTGTCTGTGTGGGAAGGGGAGGTGCTCACGGGAATGCACCAGCCTCTGCCAGCATCTCAGCAGTGGGGACCAGGAGGGAAAGGGAAGTCTGGGGACATTTCTGGAGCACGTGCACGCATGTGCGTGTACACGACGTCTGGCATGTCCATGCCTGTGTAAGCCTCTTGTGCAGAGGTGCTGAATGTGGTGTCTCTGGTGGGAGTGTTCACACAGGGTATGGCAGGGTCAGGCGTGCAGTCTGTGTCCGGGCACAAACACGTGAGGGTGGCGTGCAGGGGTGCTGTCTGTATGCACGTGAGGGTGTGCTGTTGAGGCGAAGGCCACAGATCCCCCACTGACCAGCATGTTCTCCTGTGCTCGGAGCACCAGCTGCTTGCCCGCTGAGGCTGCCTCCTCCTCACACTCCTGCTTCTGGCCAGGGCCAGGAGCTCTGTGGACCCGGCTCGCCGCATCTTGAGAAACGGAGAAGGGCCTGGAGACCAGGAGCCGGAAGTGGTGTGGGATCTCCGTGGTGTTGGTCAGCTTCAGGTGGTGGGTAGTCACCAGCTCACTCAGCACCTGGGCAGCCACAGAGGCAGCAGGCAGGGGCTGTGTCTCTTCTCTCTCTTCAAGCCCATGGTTCTAGGGGAGGGCTGGGAGGGCTGGGGGAGGGACTGACTCAGACTGTAAGGCCCGAGTCCCAGAAGGGCACACAGAGACAGCTGAGGCCCGGCTAAGCTGGCAGGGCCAGAGGGTGGCAGCACACTCACCCCAGAGCAGGGCCGCTGG